AACAGCAAAATTCAAAATTCATAGAGTTGATTTCCTCAAACCTTTATTCCTATGGAAGCCACAACCTAACTGTAAGAGAAATAAGGGCAAAGGGTTATGGAAAACCCAGCCTGGTAACTGGTGAAAAGCAGAGACTCTGCCCCGAGCACAGACCTCTCCATCAGCAGGCGAAGGTGGCCGCAGGATGCCAAGGCAGCGCAGCGAGGCTGTAGTTTCACCCTCACTTTCCGAGGGGCTGAGCAGGGGCAGGTGTCAGCGGGGAGGTCGGGCTGCTGCCATCCCTGCGGCACAAGCGCAGGTCAGCCGTGAGCCTGCGAGGCCAAACCAGCTCCCCAGCGGCTCCCCGCCAGGCTCCTGCTCCAGCATCCCCGGGCAGGGCTGCGGGGAGCACACGGGAGCCTGGGCCACCTCTTCCAGGGACAGCCCGTGCTCAGGTTTACTTGAACAGTCACGACGCTGTAACATAGATCTCCATAAGGTACGTACAAAGTTCTGAAACCCTGTCCTGCACCAGTAGCAGTTTTGACATTCGTGTACTGTTGTATTTCTTATACCAAGGAAACGACAGCCACGCTTTTCATTTCAGGGAAGATGACCTCAACACATTTGTAGGAAATAAGCATATGTAAGCTGATTTTAGATAAAGCAGTGGGATGACTCCTCCCACTCTTTATCTCATGCCATGTACAAAAGTGAAACCTTTGTAAAAAAGGTCCTTTAAATTTGTAGGATAAAGCAAAACCACACAGATACACACAAAAATCATGTATACATGATTAACTGTTTTTTCTTTTCAAGCAATCTCTAACCCTCTAAAGTAATTTTCACAAACCTCCAGATTATCTGCTTCAAACAAAGAGGCATCATTTCAGAAATTAATATATTTGGGATTTTTGCAAACGATTTTCAAAGGACATTTGTTTCCAAGGAAATAAATGTACAGAGTTTATATATTTAGATACAACTTTCAATAATATTCCAAGTAAGAATAACGTACTTCATAATTCCATTAAATTCCTTACAATAAGTAGTCACAGTGGTTTTGGAAAGCACATATCTGCCTGGTAAGTTTACCAGATCCATTATAATATCTCATTTCAAATGAGACTCCTCTCCTCTACTTCCATGAATGACCTCAACTATTCTGCTACCCCGTCATTTAGAAAGAATAAAACCGATAGAAGAATAAGCTGGTTCAGAAGAAAAACAACAAAAGCCAGTTCAGAATTTTTAGGTGATGATTATAATAATTTCAGAAGGCCCCTCTATTCCTATCAATTCAGGTAAAACAATTTGTTATGAGTGGCACAGAAAATTAAGTGAACTGACACACACATCATTCAATTATAAAATTTTCCAAATCAGATTCTGTGCCTTATTTAACCATTTGGAACAGTTATTTCTAAAAGAAAGCTTTAAAATAGAATTTAAAACACTCAATACCAGTTACGCAAAGCAAAATATTTAGTAAAAACTGCAAATCTTTAAGACTGGTAATTTTTAATAGAAACCCCCAGTGAGTCGATTACAAAAACAAAGAGATCAGTAGTCGATGCAGCTATGCAGGCAAGAAAGGGAAACCTGGTAGATTTTTCCTGATTATTAAGACTGAACAAAAAAAATGTTGCCAAAGGTAATAGAAAAGACTTACCATTCATGGTGAAAAGCTAGTTTTCAGAAACATATTGCTCCTAATATTAATCCAACAGTTGATGAAGTATGTTAATCTCTACAAAATCAGTGCTTCAATCTCTAAACACACATACACTAACTGGAAAGAGAGAGCACACAAAAATCCAGAGATCTGATCTTCCTTACGAAATCCTTGTGATGCAAAAAAACTATGAAGCACAAGATACCAGTAGTAAACCAAAATCAATATTCAGGACACAGATATTTGATTTTCCTCATTAACTACTTCTGTTCTGACCAATGCTACCTATTCATGTCTAAAGCAACTCAAAATGGCAGGGAGAAAAAAGCATGCAAACACCAGGAGGTTTTAAGATGTTCTCAATTATATCAAGCACTGGTTGTTTCCATGGCAACCTCAGACCAGAATTATCTGTTGACTTGTACCCAACTAGAAGTTATTCTAAAGCTTTAATCAATTCACACAATGTACTCTGTACATTATTTCATATTTCACATGTATTTTCCTCTACACATATATATAGCAGTAATTCATCTAAATCTCTGTAAGACATTCCATGGTATTTGAAAGTATATTGATATTATTTTGAATCAGTTAGAGATCAAATAAGATTTGACTATTCATTACCTATCCAGTTGCAATTTGGAGACTATGAAGATGACAGAAAGATGCAATAGTAGTGACTCTCCTGACCATTTCAGTTATCCAAATCGTTAACGTGTTCTCTTATTATGCACAGATTTGGAAAATATTTGTATCAATTCAAGAATAAAAGACTCAGGCTAATCTTACTGTCTCTACATTCAAAACCAAGCAGCCTCATCCTCCTTTCCTTTCCCATTTCAATCTTCCAAAGAGCAACAAGCAACTAAGAAAACAAAACAAAAATCAGAATGTAGGCTCCATACAGTTGCAAGTGGTCACAGGCAAGACATCTAAATTCAGAATGAAATACAGCCTTCTGATGACCACTATCATATCCCTTTCACCCTTTGGCTGTTGGTTACGAGCTCAGGCTGTACAGTCACATGTGTGCTGAGCCACCTCGCCCTACTGGATTATGAGGATTTTACAGAACATGTTCATTTGTTTCATGCATCAACCAAGAATCCAAGGCATGTTGGAAAAATGGTATGGTTTATATATCAAAATAACCAAGCAAAGATGTTAAATTTCGGAATCAACCACTGAAAAAAACCCTAAGGCTACAGACCACATGGCAAATTTCTCAAATCCCAAACTAGACCACTAACAACACAAGCAAAAAGTCCACCCAACAAGCAGCAACTCCCCCCCCTTCAGCAAACCCATAGCTTCAGCAGTAACTGCTAGTAAAAGGACATGCATAGAAACAGACCTGCTACAGTATTTCATTACAGCAGAAGGTATAAATATATTTAAGTGTCCTTTCAAATGAATTCTACCTCAAACCTAAACCAAAAAAAAAAAAACAAAACTGAGAAATCACTTTGCAAAATTTTCAGGAATTAAAAATTTGCCTCAAACTTCAAGAGTAATTCATGCTGTCTGCTACGTAGCTTCACCTGAAACATTACACCAACATTTTATAAGTTGCAGCGTTATGTGCAGCATAGCTGAAAATATTCAAATACTCTTACAAGACAAACACTACTAGTATGTTTCTAAAACACTGCTCATTCACTAAACTTTCTGTGAAATTACTCTACAACCTGAACTCAAGTGACCCTCAGGTGAAAAAAAAAAACAAAACCAAACTGCAACAAACCAACAAAACAAAACCATTTCTCTTTCATTTTTCACAAAGCAGGAGAATCCTGAAACACAGTCTTAATCCATGTGTACCTACAGTATTTTTACTTATTATTTTTTAAAAATAAATTACCAATTGAGAGTAAAGGTTCAGGACAAAGATTCAGACTATCACCCCAAAACCAAAGCTACATAATCAACCACCATTCAGCCACCAGCTTGGTAACTTTGGCTCGGAAAAATTGCATGCAACCACTGTGCTTATTTATGACTTAAAATAGCATTTGCGGAACAGCCATTTTCACCATGTTTATCACCAAGAGACACGACAGTCCATTTCCTCATCAACCATGTCATATGAGGAAGCCTGCCTTAAATAGAGGAGGGACAAAAAAAAAAAATAGTAGAGACCTGTACACAAACAGGTCACAATTTGTAAGTGTCAGTAGGTCAATACCATTTTTTTCTTCATGTTATATAAACAAAAATGCTTCAGTGTTCTTTTTTCAAATAGCTATTTACATAAAAAAGAGCTTCTACATAAAACACAAGTATGCGTCTATTCTTACCAAGCTGAAAATATTTTGGAGAAGTGGAAGGTCAGAATTTATGCACTTTCATCATTTATCTTTCCAACACAACTAGTCAATTCTTTCTCATCTCATTTGGGAGACCTAGATTTAATCTATTTTAGGTCAATGCATTAACACCTTTTTGTTTCCATGTTTACTGCTTATCCTCCAAGAACAGATTCACTCCCTCCTCATGTAATATTTTAAATTGCAAGCAGGGAGATGTATAAACACTTATTTTCTTCATGGGAACGCTGCAATGCTAAGCATTTCCAATAAGGCCTATTTTCAACTGAAATAATTGTGCTATCTCAAATCCATCAATGAATCTGAAATATGGAACAAAATTAAAATCAATTACAATATTGTAACATTTTAAAATCAGTATTTAACCACAGAGACAAAAATCGCTTTTCAAAATAATGCATGGCTTTAAAAGAAAAAAAGGAAAATCAAGTGTCAATTACTTAGATTGCTATATTTTTTGAAATCTCTTTTATTACCCAAAATGCAATCATGAAAAGTTTTAATCCATACAAATAATATTGTAAACTGTTTGCTCATTAAGAAATTAAAGCCAATGATAGTCAGCATTCCCATACTAAACTAATACGTAATAGTTAAAATCAACCACAATTTTATATTGTTTACCACTGTAAAGAACATTCTGATGTATATAAACATTACAATCTTTAATGAGTCTTCTATTTCTGCTGATTTAATTTGAAAATAAAGGAAGTAATTTAGAAGCAAAAATTAGGGTGGGGGCTTGCCAAAACAAGTCAACTATGCTTTAAGAGGAAAGAAGGGATGAGAGATAAATTCTCCTGCCAGCCACTAGTCCATGAACCAGCCCCCCACCTTCCCCTGCCTGATGCAATATGCTATTATTCAAATTAATACCTTTAGGTAATGAGCTGTAAAATTGCCCTGGAATGTATCACAGACCGGTGTTTGTATTCGAACGCAAATATGCAAGTTCCTCTCTTGCTAGGGAAACTGAAGAGCAAATATCTATAAAACAAACAAAAACCCCTACTTACTTGATTTGTCCCATAGGACAGCAAGTTCAGAGCAATGTTGGCTCTCATTTTCCAGAGCCGGTCTCTGTTCATGCGCACCACTCTTTGAATGCCTATGGAAAAGGCGATTAGCAAAACCTTCCAGTCTCTGCAGTGCTGTGGCTGTGCCTGTGCACTGGTTACAAGGTACCTCCTTCTGAGCTGCCATCTATACACACCGGCGACTTTTACAAAAGCAAAAGAGGAAAAAAAAGCTAAAGGGAGCTGGACAACCCAGAGCCACTAAGAGCTATGCATGTGTCAAGCTTCCTGTATGCAGTGTTTTCTAACCACTACTCTCTTCTACTTCCTGTTAAGAAAAGCTCTATAAGGTACTTGTTTATACTGCGAAAGGTCTCTTTTCATTTCAATCAAAAAGTGTTTTTTTTAAAAAAAATATTCAATAATTGCTCTAGCATGTTTTCACAGCTTTTTAATTCATCACATATTTTGTATTTAAATATACATTTTCTGTTAAAATACTATAAACAACTTATTCAGAAGCAAAGATCAGAAGACAGATTTTTTTTTTTAATTTACCACAACCATGTGTGAAAAAAGAAAAGTGACTATTCTGCAGTTCTTCTCATTATTAAGACGGAATACTACCATCATCATAGCAAACATAACCAGCTGTAATCTAATCATTAGAAATCTCATGTTTTCAACTAAACAACTTCCTAAGCAAGGAGGTTACTTGCAAAAACTACTGAAGAAACTATTGTTTTATTATTGGGGGGGAAGGTATTATTTTCCTCTTTTGAGAAAATTCAGACTGAAGAAGTTGAATTCTAACACACATATAAACACGACTGCATTATACTTACGCAAACTGGGTTCTACTTACTCCAAGAATGAGCCAAATGCATTTAACTTTTTCAGGAATAAAGTACCAGAATGACCAGCGTTGGCAGATTCTTATCTAGCAGCATGCTCACTCTCCCAGCCCCAAAAGCAGCTGGAAAGAGAGTCACAAAGTCACGGTCAGCAGCTCTTGACGTCGCTTATGTAAAAGCTTTGCATGCAAATCTCCTAGAATTGCGTAAGAAAGTTTTTCGTTTACAAGAAATTCGAGTATTTTCAACTGTAAAGTAAGTCTAGAAAGCATCATTTTTAATGGCACAAAATATAGGGAAAATAAATTGAAAGCTGTATTTAAATTAAATTATATTAATTTGCAAAATATCTAATTTTGCATGCTTACAATGGGCATTACTAAATGTTCATTTTTGTGAAAACGGAAACACATACATTAGGCAGGTCTCCCAGTATATCCTCTGCACATATAAGATGTGGCTTCTTAAAAATTTAGGCTACTCTTAAGAAAGATTGAAATAACTTTTCCACAATCTGTCTCCTGTCTTACCGTGAACATGTGTTAAAGACATACCTCTCATTTTTCACCACCATACTTCTCACTGAATAGTTTTCAAATGTCAGCAGATACCCATCCTTGGACATTACATAATTATTTCTTAACAGCTCTGTGCTTCGGAAAAAAACTCACGATGAGAAACCACCTATGATAAAGATAAAACAATAAAAATGCCGAGGGGACAGACTTGGTCTCATTCCTCCTAACGAGCACTTCCAGAGTTATTGAAGTCAGCCTCAGTCAACATAACAGTTTAAATTTCTAGACTCTACACAAAGCACAGAAATGCCCCTTCCCTTCAGGCTCCAGGTATACTTTGGAAACATAACTTCCTTCTCCAGCATCTGTTAAAAATTTGAAAGCAAATGTCTAAATGCTTACATTGTACACACCAGTCTGCAAATCTGGAAGAGCACCTGCTAGCTTGCTGGTGAGCAGGCTTCTCTCCCTGGTAAGGATGAAGTGCTGCAGACTTCCCTGGGTCTCCTTTCAGGTCCTTTTCCACCTTATGCCTTCCAGGCTTCTACCTGCTCTGCTGCAGGACCAATGAAGACTTCCATGACACCCTGTCAGTTCGAGGCTCTGCTGCCAGGAACAAGAGCTAGTGAAGACCATTCGGGTCTGTTTGCCTTATCAGGATTATGAACAGGCAGAGGGGATATATTATGTGTCATATATAACCAAACACTATGACAGAGTAATGCTATGCCACCTTCTATACAGTAGTATAAGAAATACTTAGACAACAGTATGCTTATTTATCTGTCTAGTGAACTTCTTGAGGCTGGAAGAGCCCCTCCAGAATTGTACAGCTGTGCTCCCCTGTAGCTCACTGCAAGTCTCTGGGCATCCACGGAATCTTTCTGAGAGACTACGATGTTCTCTGACCTTGGCCGTCTTCTCCAGTAAACAAAGCCACCTGGTATGATGGTGTACTCATCTGGTCTCTCTCCTTTCCTGTGGTTCTGAGCCTTTACACTACTGCCACCTTCTCTTTTACTCAAGTCTTCAAGTAAACCATTTTGTTTCCCTGATCTCAAAGATGATAATTTACAAAATTCACATCACATTATGTCAGTTAGAGTCTGCCAATCCTCTAGAGTCAATGTAGAGATGCAGGAACTGCCAGAGAGCAATTCTGCCCACCAAAATTCTGAGCTCTGAATGCACCCAAGTGACTAACCTGGACACTTCAATTAGGTGCCAAAAATAGCAAGCAGAAAAATTCACCCTGAGACCACAGAAGTGAACTGGTTTAAGTGAAAACGGATTATCAAAAAGAGATTATTAAAAGACATGATGAGAGAAAACGTGGATTTGCCAGAATTTTACAAACTACTGCCAGTGAACTCTGTTACAGAAGTCCTCCTCTACATGCAAAACATGAAAAGAAAGCACTGGTCATATTTATACATAGACAGTAATGCACTTTTCTAATCTTGGAAATTTTTGGCATTGATTGCCATTGCCGAATGACAATACAAAATACTACCACACTGACTTTCTGTGAAGGCCACATCCCACATGGACTTCAGTGTCTTCATATGAAGTCCGCAATTTTTAAGGTGGAACCTCCTATTTCCTTTTATCTAATCTTCCATTTTATTGACTATTATAATAGTCTTGCAAATCGATGCAATGTTAATTTATCCGCACCAAGTATTTTGTATGTTTTATATGAAGCAGAGAGTCCACAAGCTTCAACATAGTATTTTACATGAGCCCAAAAGCTCAGTAATCAGCAATGGATGATGCTTTATCAAAAGCAAAATTCTGTGGCTCTGCTTGTCTTACGATTCACACTTGCTAGCCAGCACTGCTTTTCCTTAGAACAGTTTGTAAATCTTGAAATACCATAAAATACTTATACAGACATGTGCAAACAGACCTGAGGTCATCTTACTCATGCTCCAAGCTGGAAGAGAACCTGAGCCAGATTTGACCTAAAGTGGTGCAATGCTTGTGGTTAAGCTTGTACACCTTCCCAAAAGAGCAAAAGCTGGCTATACTCTTTCCACACCATGAATATCCAGATGTTCTACCCACTCAGTGCAACAAAAGTCAGATCAGGTGTAGTCAACCTCTGTGCACAGGTATGACCCATATAATATCAGGCCTGATAAAGATGCACTTAATTTTCCCGAATAACTTCTTCTTTAGTCTCTGTGGCCTATGAAACTTTTCTGTTAGAAAAACAATTGCTTACTTCAGGTCAATTATTTAAGAAATAATTAATGTTTGCAGGCATTAAGACTAGCCAGTTGCCATCCAGGTCTCTTACTAGTTTCTACAGCCAGATAGTGTTGAAAATCCCCTCTTTGTTCATACTTACTGCAAAATAAACCCAAGCTGCCCAGCCTACGCAACGTATGTGCTACCTGGTGTATACCAGAGAGCTCACAACCCTGGTGCCTGATTGAGCAACATCAGTGCAGGGCCTCAGCGCCAGCACACTGCTTCCCTTTGCCTGCGGAGCTCCATCTCTTCCAAAACGCTCCCAAACACACTGAACTCAAACCAGCTAGGCACACAATTTAAGGAAAGTGGTAGTTACATAGAGAACATAAAAGAGAGTTGCTTCAATGTTTCTAACCTGTTGCCAAAATTTCTGTTCTACAAGAGAGAATGAAGCTCCAACTTCTTAGAACCAAAGTCAATACTGAAAACACATTAAAACACCCAGAGAGGTGGGCAAGAGATTCAGTTATGAATGTGAACACTAATTGTGTAAGCTATAGTATTTTGAAAAATAATATTTCAGTAAAAATTTTTAAGGTACTCTCCCATACATTTATAAAAAACAACATAATGTTGATAGCCATAGAAAAGGGCTAACACTGTGGTCCTCTAATCTGATTAAGGCAACAAAACCATTTACACTTTTCCTGATGGCCAACCCCTAACCTTGTGTATATTTCCCAGCACCTGATGCCCAGTGTATCTCTCTCAACCGTAAGTAGCAAAACACAGCACTATAATCCAGCCACAGACTCTTTCAGCTTCTGGCTGAAAAAGAATCAGGAAACAATGTAGCTACATGGACAATTTCTTTTTGATACTCTCTGCTAAAAGAACATTTCTTAATTTCTACGAAGCAATTCTACCCTGCCAGTCAAGCCCTAAAAATTAAGGGTTGAGAAAGAGAGTCCCCTCCTTTCCTCAAAGAAGCTAGATGGTTAAGTAACAGCATGATTTCTACAGTCCTGCTTTAATTAAACACAGAAAAAATGCACACATTATAATTTTAAAACAGTTAAGACATTTCCCAAGTAAAGTTATCATGAAATTCCTGAATTTTAAAGAAGTACAAAACAGAAAAACATGAAAAAATACAGCACATCTACATATCTTTGAAATGTATTTATTTTACTTTCAGGATCTAACGCCATACTACTTAGTTTCATACACAGAACTGAAATTCCCTCATACTACGTCAAAATTGGGAATGTCTTCTTTAGTGTTTAATGAAGGTTAACCATGAATATCTTGCAATCAAAAACATATAGGAGTTTTTAAAACAAGTAACTGTATTCCTTGACAGGATATTGAAAAATGGATCCATGATGCAAAATAATTTTAAGATCATCTACAGTTAACTAAAATTTAGGTCTTAATTCCAAATCTTGAAACCTAATATTTTCCTCGTTACCTAACAAAGTTGAGTCTCAATCTGCCTGTTTATGCATGTTCTACTTCTCTTTAAGGGCTAAATAATAAAAAAAATCTTTTCTATTTTCTTATTTTAAATATTTAAAATAAGTATTTCTCCTTTTCAGCACTAGCCTTCATCCAAA